TTTTTTTTTTTTGGTACTTTCTTTTTATTTATTTTGGTAAATAAGGAAAAGAAGTCCAAGATGACACGTGATATGTGTGGACTATTGTTGGAAAATTATTGGTGGTTTATTATTATATTTTATGGAAAAGGGTGACAAGTGTCTGGGACAACAATAATCATTAAACTTTAGAAATCAAAGATTAGTGGAGAATTATACTCAGTAAAATAGACTGATTTTCGTTTGGCCTTGTAACTTAGTCAAGCAATAATAATAATCATATTCATAATATTCAACTAAATTCATCATTCTTTAGGGACCCCAGCATATATGAATCCAGCTCATGGTCACATGAACTACCAAAATATAGAAATTGATTGTTTAAGCATTGTTTAATTTGATTAGATAAAGGTCACAATCACATTGTTTAATTTGATTAATTAGATCAACTTAACTAGCTTGATTAATTGTTGATTGTCTTTTTCATCAATTCTTATGGTGTTCTAACATTGTCATATTTTTTAATTTTTTTTTTTTGTGATATTTAAAGTATGATATTTCAATATTAAAAAAAAAAATGATTATCTAGCCGTTGAAAGTTTTATAATGATATATTTCAACCCTTTTACTTGATACAGGCGTTCTACTTGGATACTTATCAAACTATGCATTTGCCAGCCTCCCATTGAAACTAGGCTGGCGCATGATGCTCGGCGTAGGCGCGATCCCGCCTATCTTCATCGGCCTCGCCGTTTTCATCATGCCCGAGTCCCCCCGTTGGCTCGTCATGCAGGGCCGATTGGGCGACGCCAAACGTGTCCTCGAGCGCACCTCCGATTCCCTAGAGGAAGCCCATTTACGGCTAGCCGACATCAAGGAGGCCGCTGGCTTGCCGAAAGACCTCGAGGGCGAAATCGTCCAAGTCCCCAAACGCACGGGCGTGAAGGGAGAAAACGTGTGGAAGCAATTGTTCGTCCACCCGACCCGACCCGTCCTCCACATCACGATTTGTGCGCTCGGTCTCCAATTTTTCCAACAGGCGAGCGGGATCGACGCAGTCGTGATGTACAGCCCAAGGATCTACGAGAAGGCGGGAATCACGAACGACCACAAGAAGCTTCTGGCGACCATAGCCGTCGGGGTTTGCAAGACCCTCTTCATCCTCGTCACCACTTTCATGGTCGACAAAATCGGGCGCCGAGTGCTCCTCCTCACGAGTTGCGGAGGGCTCGCGCTCTCGATGCTCACGCTCGGAACCGGGCTAACGGTGATAGACCGGTACGGGACCCACAACTTGCAATGGGTCGTCGTGATATGCGTGCTCATGACCTACACGTCGGTCGCGTTCTTCTCGATGGGTATGGGCCCGATCGCGTGGGTCTATAGCTCGGAGATTTTCCCCATTCAGCTCAGGGCACAGGGTTGCGGCGTGGGGGTGGCGATAAACCGGGCCACGAGCGGGGTTTTGCTGATGTCGTTTATTTCTCTCTACAAGGCGATCACGATCGGCGGGGCGTTCTTTCTGTTTAGCGGAATTGCGACGATTACTTGGATATTTTTCTTCACGTTGTTGCCCGAGACGAGAGGGAGGACGTTGGAGGATATGGAGGCGTTGTTCGGAACTTTCTTTAAATGGAGGACGACATCAAGGGAGTTGCAAAAGAAAGAATTGGAGGAGGCGAACAATGCCTAGAAATCGATAAATTTGGGTAGGGTATGATCGTTGGTGTTGGCTCGATACTTTTTGATCGGGCCGAAATTTGTGTGGCTCTATTTGAGCTTAACCATCCTATAGTAATGGAGAATATAGTTAAGGAAAAAAACGTATCGGACTTAATGTGCTGAGTCTAGGAAACAGAATCGTGGACTAGGTGAAAATTTGAGACTTTTACATGTATACTTAGAATCAGTTGATTTTATTTATATAGTAATGTAATATGTTGTACGTTGGTATGTTGGATTAATGTAAAAGTTGCATATGGTGAAGATACATATGTATGATGAGTTTGAGGCTGTTTATGATTGTTCAAAAGGGTGATCGTTGGTATAACTCTTGAGCTCGGGATGACTATTATAGTATGTTAGAGGAAGCATAACAGTGTAAATAAAGGGGTCAATATCTCGGAATAATTCTAATTCTACAGTGACAACATTTTTGCTTTTGATCTCGAAATCGCTATGACAGAATGTTTACAGGAAGCAGAAAGGGGTCATGGGCTCAGAATAATTCAAACTTCTTATTCGGTTATAATGAACTTTCAATTAAAATATTCGTTC